TGTCTCAATCATTTATTAACTAATGTGGCATTTTTTGGTGATGCGCAGGTGATCATTCGGATGGTCAATGCGAAGGATACGTCACACGGGTTGGGGGGAGCCATCTTAAATGAGGTGCTCGTCCTTAGTGCCTCGTTTCGACGTGTCTCGTTCCACTTCGCATCACAGAGGTATAATAGGGCTGCCCATATCGTGGCGAAAGATGCCCTCTTATCACGGGGTCGACTTTTTGTTGACCGGCGTCCCTTGCTTGTTCTTTAGTTTTTGTCTTTTGGTCATCTTTTGTATAAACTCGTATCTTGTTGTTCCGTTTGGATTATCTATGGCAAAAAAAAATACTCAAATTAGAAAACAAAACAAAGTTTCTGAAATAAATGAGTAAACTATGAAAAAAATTAATGATGCATTTTAATATGTGTCCATGCCACGTGTCATTTAGAGAAAAGAGAGTCATTTTTTATGAATAAGTTGGTATGTATTATGATCAAAACTCATGTACTTTGTGGAAAGACCCTTTACCACTAAGGAATAACACTACTTCTATACCATATATCGATACTACCGGGTCAGAATGGTGTACTCTTGGAGTATACTATACTCTAGGTACTTCTAGTGAAATATCTCTATCTAGACCATGAAGTAAACCAAGTTTTGGGTATGATACTATACACTAACCTCTAATGGATAAACCCTAGCCCCCGTTTCTCTAACCCCAAACCTGAAGTTCAATTCAATGGAAAATTAAATCGACCATTGAGATTGGTTAGAGCTCATCCAAATACATCTAACGGCTATATCACATGGAGTATACTATACTCCTGGAGTATACCAATCATAACCCTATACTACCAAGAAATAGAGCCTGGATTACATCTCAACTCACAAGAACTTAGCTAATTCCTCTTCATCACATAATGCTGCAACTTCATCTCTTATGGAACCCAACATGACCTCAGCACTAGAGAGCTTGCCTCCAAACTTAACAAAACATCTGACCCTCCAGATTGAGCTGATCATAGCCTGCCAGAGCAGTCTCCCAATCTTGGTATGAGTTGCTGAACTCGAAAAGAACTTACTAGCGAGTTCAACTCTTCCTGCCATGAGTCAAAAGGTAGTCTCGAAAATAGACTTGTACTTAAAATAAGGACTAGACTGGCCAAGCACTGGAGTAATCTGGTAGTTAATTTAATGAACCGCCGTAGAAACAGTTTCGGGCCAAAAGAAAGAAGGTATGTGAGAGGCTAACAGAAGAGCAAGAGTAACCTCTAGGACATTACGGTTCTTACGCTCGACCAAACCATTTTGTTGTGAGACACCTGGACATGATTTATGGGTAAGAATACCAAGAGAAGCATAGAGATTAACCAAAGGTGCCGGACTAAAATCACCCCCTGGATCAGATCGGACTACACGAACAGTTCTATCAAACTGAATCTGGATCATTTTCAAAAATTCAGCGGCTATGGATAAGAGATCAGATTTAAGACACAGAAAATAAACCCATGTGTATCTAGTGGCATGATCAACAAAGAGAGCAAAGTACTTGTAACCATGACGAGAAGTAACCGGACTTGGTCCCCAAAGGTCAATATGGATGAGATGGAATGGTTCTGTAATAATCATGGTACTAGAGGGAAATGAAATGCGGGTGGTTTTAGCTTCTACACAATGTTGACAACAAAAATCCGATAACCGATCAAATTTTGTATTCGAACCAAACAATTGTTGACGAAACATGGTTACAAGACTAGTAGAATTGGGATGACCCAACCTAGCATGCCACAAATGAAAATTTTGATCACTAAGACTCGAATCAACAGGAAACGAGGATACCCTACACACCGAAACCGAATCCGACGATGAGCTGGAGGGCGATGTGACGAGCTCATCGAAGAAAAATATCCGACCGTGCTTGATACCCCTCCCGAGCTCCCTCCCCGTCTTCAGGTCCTGTACAACACAACCAGAGGGTGCAAAAATAACCCGACAACCTTGCTCACTAAGTTGTCCCACAGAAACCAAATTAGGAACCAATTTAGGAACATGAAATGTTGCCTGTAACTCAATACGAGCGTCTCGAACAGAACCAATACCAGCAACCTGAAGCTTATTACCATTGGCAACTTGTAATGACAAATCAGCATCTGGGCGAACATCCTTAACCGTAGAAACATTGCTAGTCATATGATTAAAACATGCCGAATCAACAATCCACTTTCGAAATTTACCTGTAACCTGAAGGCTGGCAAATGCTGAAGTTATTGCCTTGTTAACCATCTGTTCCAATGCATCAGGGGTGACCAAAATACCATTTGAAGCTGCTGCTAGTGCCGCGGCATAGACAGGTCGAGAAGCATGCTGCTGTTGCTGTCCATAACCGCCGCCATGCAGCTGGTTTCCATAGCTTCTGTCGCGACCTGAGCTAGGGCCACCAGAATTGCTACCATCTGCCATTCTTTCCTGAAGCAATCCACAATCTGAAATTATATGACTACGTTTCTTACAGTAGACATAGAAATTTTTCTTACGGCAATATTTCTTCGTGTGGCCCTTTTCATGGCAGTGATGGCATTCCACCTCAGAAAGAGGACGACGAGGAGCAGGATACGCAGCGTAAGCCTCACCGAAGTCGTTAGAGGAATCGTCAGCAGCGGTAGCAACAACAGGTTGTGTCACTTGCCCTTGGGGGTCCTTCGTGATCTCCTGCCGCGTGGAAGGAAGAAGCAGCTCCGCCCGTGGCGGCGTGCACGACCCCAAAGACAAGTCCATCTCCGTGACCAGGACGTGCGTCGAGTGTAGCTTGCGTGCGCAAGCGGGTTTCCTCGCGAATCAGATCAGCGAGAACCCCTTCCAGGAGAAGTGAGTCACGATTGAGGAGAGTTGCCTGGAGAGACTCGAACTCGGGTTTGAGCCGTATCAAGAACTAGAGCAGCCGGATTTTTTTCTTCTCCACTTGGATTTCGGCAGGAATGGGCTGTGAAAGAAGAGATGCCGTGAGCAGGTCTTGTTCGGTCCATAGTAGACGCGCTGTGTTGAAGTAGGAGGCCACATCGAGCTTGCCTTGATGTAAGTTAGCGAGTTCCACCTCAAGCTCGAACTGGCGGTTGGCGCTTGTTGCAGAGTACGTAGCGGCCAAGGATTTCCACATGGCGGAAGCAGTTGGAAGGAGACAAAGGCAAAGGATGATCGCAGGATCAACGGAGTACAGAATCAATGATCGAACACGAGCGTCATCTTGCAGCCACTTCTGAACTTCTTGCTCGGTGGAGGGCGGTACCCTAGGCTTGGCGGACGAGCCATCAAGCAAACCAAAGAGACTTTTTCCTTCGATGAGTACTCGGAACTGAAACTCCCAAATAGCATAGTTCTTGGAGTTCAGCCGAGTGGTGATGTGATCGGAATCCATACCCGTAAGCTCTGATACCATGTTAACTTATCGTAGCAGAGTGAGATCGAACGAAAAGAGATTGACATTATTAATTATTACAGGTTACAATATATATACTTTCATAACCCTAGCTAGCCGAAGTAGGGAAGAGGTTCAGCGAGGGTGTTTAGTCTAACCTAGGCCTACACTGCTACGTACAATTACATAATGGGCTTAACCCCAAGTACATGAGAATCGTCATAACTCAACACATATATCGATAACTGTTTATACTTTTCTTATTGCAAATGTAGAAATCCCTTTATATCAGCTTTCAAAAAATGTTATTTCAATATTTATTTCCTCTTTTATTTTTGTTACAAAATTGTTTGTCCTACAATTATAATTTTCAGACTTTTGGATACCAATCAGTAAATTAGCCAGAAAAAGTGTTTTGAACTTTGATATTTTATATTTGATGGTAATAATAATTAATCGAATCTGTTGGGTATGGTATCATTTTCGTGGTTTGCCAACTTGGTAAGTGAGGACTTCAATTTTATTAAAAACATTTGCTAAAAAAATCTTAGTTTTAGTTGCATAAGTTCATAATTGAGCTTTTATTCGGTCTCTAATTATATCACTCTTTTAGTCTACTTGGCTGAAAAGAAATCATATTATGTCAGAAATTGGAAATTCATGACCATGAAGTGATGGAAGTCTTGATGGGTTACTCCAATATTCAAATCGCTGGTTGGGCGAGCTTCCTCTCGACTCTCATAGTAGAGATTAATTGGGATAGAAGAGATTAATTGGGAAATGACTTAGAAATAAACGGGATGGTGGGTCTCTGGTGTAGATTTTAGTGGGGTGTTGTATATCCCTGCACAAAATAACACCAAAATGTATAAAATAGTACAAAAACACACTGAAGGTCTATCTTAGAAACATTGATCAAATAGTTACGATATTATATGAAACGTAGCAAAATATACTAAAGATACATTGATAGAAGTGGAAAATGTGTTAAATATGGGAGTATAAATGCTATAAATTAAGTGTTATCATCACTCCACGCTAAGTATTGGCTGGCTTGATTAATGAGGATAGTCCTTCACATTCTACTTGAGCAAAGTATTTGCAAGCTAACACCTAAACCGAAAGTGTGTAACATAAACGTGCCTTGCAACTTCTCCATGATATGTTGAGAAAACAAGTCCTTTGGGGTAAATTACGCCCTTCCATTCTCCTTTATGAGGTTCAAAGATGCACATGAGGAAGAAAGAGGAAGAGTGGGAAAAGAGGTTGAGGAGGAGGAAGGGACCGTTGATGAGGAAGCTTTTGATTTTTCTGTGGACGGAGAATAACTTATTGAAGAAGGACGGGAGGTTGAAGAGGCAACTGGAGTACGATCAATGGACAAGGTAAGGATGGATGAAGTTTCGACAAGTTACACGTGCTACCAAACTTTCCACCTGACCTTGATGCACTTCTGGAGAGGGACCCGTTTGCGGTATCTCTTTTCCGAGAAAGGCCAGAACATCGTCGATCTCCCTTTGAGGATACCTATGAAAAAAAACTAGAAGCTTCCAAGACTAACAACTCATAGAATTTCTTATGTATTCTTTTTTAATGCACTATTATTTGTGTCTAAAATTATTTATTCTACTTTTTACATTTTTGTCCAAGATACAACAAGAGAAAAGTTAGAAAATTACATACCATATCTCAGTAACCTTACCCAAAACAACCCACTAGAGCAGCCAGCCAAAAAATTCAAAGGAGGCTAACTCTAAATGAGACAGCAACATAGATTTACACGCCACTCTACAGACAACCCAATTTGTGAATCTCAAATCTCCCTAAAACTATACAAAAAGAACTCAAAGAAACCAGCTGGCTACAATCACAAAGCAGGGACCAAACTAGAGGGCTTTACATTGGTAATATACAAAATTGAATACGAAGCAACAAGTTACTTGGGTTAGGTTTGTTAGACTTAACATTTAATGATCTTGAATATGTAGGCAAGTGGTTCACTATTTCGAGTCCTTGAAATCGTTGATTTGTAGTTCATTCCTCTGGAATGGTGGTCAACATTGGTATTCAACGTCACATTGAACTGGGGTGGAAGGATCAACCCAGACTATGCATTGTCACCATCCTTTTTTCTTTGTAGTCATTGTCGGGTTTAGGAGGTTTAGCTCAATAAATTTTTAGTAGGGGTAGCCATGACCATAGAGCTCTGCGAGAAAAACTTTCCACAAAATTAGCATGAATTTTCATGCATCAAACACCTTGGTGAAACATTCTTTGAAGTTGATTGAACCGTGATGAGAATTTTCTTTCTTCCAATAGTCTAGGCACATCCAAACTCAGCAAAAGTTTCACTTTGTGCGATTCTTCAATGAGGGTAGTGATAATTTGATGCTTGAACTTTTGATATCACCTGTAGATTAAAAAGAAACAATAAGATGTTTTTAACAAATAAGTTGATAAGAAGAAGCATGACTAACATTACAAATAAATTTCATCTGTCAGCATACTGGCAATGCCTTAATGAAATCCCTACACTTATATCTTGTACATCTTTCTTACCAATCTCAGGGTTACCCATTTGCATCATTGCCACGAACTCATTGTAATCTATGCGACCATCCTGCACGTAACCACCAAAACCAATGAATCAAATCAACATATAATACAGTGTGATCCATATGATGCCCAACATGAATTGTTTTGCTTACATTATCCTGATCTACTTCTCGAATCATCTCTTCTATAGAAACAGCCTTCATGCCGAACTCATTGCATGCTTGCTGAAGCTCATCCTTAGTGATGTAGCCACTCCCATCCTTGTCAAAGTATGCAAAGGCAGCAAATAAACGGTCTTCCCTCTCCACTTTGTTTAGGTGCAGTGTTGCAGCTATGAACTCTGCGTAATCGATTGTCCCACTGTTGTCAATATCAGCCTGCAAATGGAGGGTTTTTTTATTGGTTTCATTTCTAAATGAGTTTACCAACTACTCAGAAGGACGATATTGGATTAATTTGTAGTCTTTACCGCCTGCATAAGGTCATAAATTTCAGACTCATCAAGGTTTGCACCAAACATTTTGAGCGCAACTTTAAGTTCTTCAAAGGTAATGGAACCACTGTTATCTGTGTCGATCATTTTGAACATCTCTCTCAATCCTGCGATCTCTTCTTCAGTCAGCTTTTCTGCAATTACCTGCATCACAAGTAAAAAATCATATATGTCAAAGATCACAACTTGACTATTGCCCGTGAGTAAAAATCTAACAAAATAAAAATGGAAGCATGGAGTGAAACTTACTCTGAGAGCCATTTTCTTGAGCTTGTTCATAGCAGAGAACTGCTTCAAACGTGTCAAGACAGCTGAATCAAGAGGCTTGTTTGGCGCCACTCCATCTACTCTTACCCATGGATGGCCTGTAAAAAGAAAATCCAACCGAAATCCAGACTTTAAGATGGAAAACATGTAAGAAGGCATCATATATGTTATGAGAACTTGATTTTCACACAATGGGGGAGACTTACAGAGAACTTCGTGGGCGGTTATCCTCTTCTTCGGATCTCTAACAAGCATTTTTCTCACTATTTCTTTAGCACTATCAGAAATATGAGGCCATGGATCAGAGGTGAAGTCCAGCTCCCCGTGCAAAACCTCTTGGAAAATCTCATCCTCAGTTTCTGTATTACAAGAAGAGTTAATGTTGAAGTTGGTAATTTTCAACAATTAGCTTGCAATGTTCATAAAGTAAAAAAGCTCTCAGATTTTACCTGCCCAGAATGGAGGCACCCCACTCAAGAGAATGTAGACCATAACCCCAGCGCTCCAAACATCAGCTTCAGGACCATACTTTTTCCTCAAAACTTCTGGTGCAACATAGTAAGGGCTTCCAACCACGTCATTGAAAACCTGCCCTGCAATTCAAGTTCCACGCTCATTCAAAACATTGAGCATAAAATGCAAGTATAAAAAATGTGTATTTCTGCATATATCTTACCAGGCTTAAAGAACATCGATAGTCCAAAATCGATAGCCTTGAGAGGGGAATCTTCATTCTCATCAATGAATAGGAAATTCTCAGGCTTGAGATCCCTATGCATGACACCAAGTGAATGACATGTCTCTATCACACCACATATTGTCCTAGTGATCTCAGAAGCTTTCATTTCTGTATAATGCCCTCTCTTAATGATTCTATCAAAAAGCTCACCACCAGAACAAAGCTCCATCACCACATGAACTGCTACAGAATCTTCATAAGCAGACTTGATTCGTATAATGTTAGGGTGTCCAGCCAAGTGATGCATGATCTCTATCTCCCTCCTTACATCCTCCACGTCATCCATGGTCAACAACTTCCTCTTTGCAATGGATTTACAAGCATAATGCTTCCCAGTTCCTTTCTCCACACACATGAAAGTTGTCCCAAATTGACCATGACCAAGCTTCCTTCCCAAGTTGAAGTATTCTTTCAAATGCCCTGTCTTGGTTTTCAACACTGAATCAGTTTGAAGCCCTGCACTTGCCATTCTTTTAACATTGTGAGCTTTCTTTGCAGGCTTTCCTCCGCCACCACCACCAGCAACAACAACTTCTCCACCTGGATTATTGGCTTCAACATCTACTGGCTTTGGTTGTTGCTTCTGTGACTGTGACTGTGACTGAACTTGAGGAGCTTGAGATTGATGTGGTTGTGGCTCCACCGGTATTACCTGGGTAACTTCAGGTGGAGGTTGTGGCTGATGGATTGGCACCTCATCTTCAACTTGCGGTGGTGGTGATATAGCAACTTCCTTTGGAGCAAAATCCTGCTTGGGCTCTTTCTTCGTCTTGTGTGGGGATTGATTTGGAGACTTCTTTTCCCTAACAACTTTCTTTGGTGGTTCTTCAGGGGGCTTAGCAATCTCTACATTTTCTGGAGGTAGCTTCATTTCTGTAGTCTTATTCTTCTTCTCTTCAGGGGATTTTGGAGCCGAAGATGGTTGTTTCTCAAGCTTCTCGGGCTCTACTACTACTCCTTTCTCTTCTTCCTCCTTCTTTTTCTTCTCAGATGGCTTCTTCTCCATCTTCATTTGCTCAGGAGGCTTATCAGGAGCCTCTCCAGAATCAGCAACATTGCCAGCTTCAATGTTCTTTTTGCTACCTGATTCTTTTTCAACGTTCTTCTGCGTCTTGGTTGGTTTCATCTTGCCAACTGCCGACTTTGACCACCATTTTAGATTGCAAATTCCTCCTCCTCCTTCCTCTGCACCTTTTGCTTGAACGCAATTGTTCCCCATCTAAACCCAATACAAAAAAGTATACACTATCCTTTCTTTTATGTTTCTTCATTTACCATGGAAAGAGTCCACCCCCATCATATAATAGAATCCAAAAGCACATAGAAAATCCCCAAAACTCATGAAAAGTTTGGGTTTTGAATCCAACCCTATCCCAAAGGACCAAAATTGTTCTTTTTCTGTTTTTCTCTAACTAATGCATTGTCATATTTTCTAGGCACAGTAGGTTAACCCATCAAAAGTAAAAGAATCAATGCCCATAAAAGGAAAGATCTTTCTTTTTCATCCAAAAATTAATGTCAAGAAACTTGAACCCAATGTGAGGTATGATTATTAATGCAAAAATAGCCAGGATTGTGAAAGTTTCTACCTTCAATGGAAAGAAACAATGCAATGAGCAGACAAAGAGATGGAGAGGATAAAGGACGGGAAAAAATTTGATGATGGAAAGGTTCTGAGAGGAAGGTAAATGAAGTCGTTGCCTCTCTATTATTTTTGTTTATTTTTTGAAGGTGAAGGAAAACAACTTTACCATGTCTCTATATATTTCTCGGATTGAGGAATTTCAAAGTTAATGACTTTTTGATGATGATGATGATGAAGAGTTTTGTCCAGATTATGATGGTGAGGGAAAAAGGGGAATGTGACTGGTTTTTTATGTCAAGAAAATGAATTTTTTGTTCACATGACGATGAATATTATCAGAATATTAATTGGAGAAAAGGGTTTTCAAAGAATTCTGGAAAAGCATTCATTTTTCTCCTCCTAATTCCCATTGGCGATTAACCAAAGGGAAAAGGGAAAATGATGAAAAAGATTAAGAAAATGAAAGTGGTAAAAGAGATAAAAATAATTGAAACTCGGAGAAAAAAATAAATTTCACAAATAAAGAAAAAGGAGAAACTCGCAAAGGTCGGGATATTGGTGAATCGTGGTTATTGTGGGAGAATATGATCGCATTATTGTATGTTTGATTTGATCATTTGAAGTTAGGTTCTAATATTTGTATCCATCATGAATCTTCCACTTCAAATTTGTCTCATAAAATTATTAGAAAAAAATAATATTATTCTTTTCACTTTATTATGGTACAATTGTAGCATTGACATATACTTAAACAAAGTATGCCAGCTCCACTAAATAAATAGGATGTCTTCATCAAAAAAAAAAATAAATAAATAGGATGTGTAATTATTTTTGTTACTAAAATATCATATTATCTAGAAAGTTATAACCATCCATCATATTTTGCCAATAGTATTTTTTTTACATATAATGAGTTATTTAAAAATATAATATTTTTCTGTTAGTTAGAAGATTGATTTGGTTAAGAAGCTAGTACACCTCTAGTTCAATTTGTGCAACTTCTCCATCAATTTTTTTTTTCTTTTTGCTGATCATTGATAACACCTAAATAGGCTTGGTCGTCTTCCTAATTTTTGGCATATTCACCTCTAGTTCAACTCGTAAAGACTATCAAGTGTTGATTGATCGAATAAAGTTCATTGGAGTCTAGAAACTAACACTAAAAAAAAGTGTTACTTTTTGTATTGATTTTGAAATCTATATTTTTTGTGGAAATTGTCGCCTCATTTAACCATATATCTTTCTTGGTGTTTACCATTAAAAAAATCACTTGATACCATAGTGATTATTTTCAAGGAATGGTATTGATTTATAAGGCCAACTTAACCATATTAATTAAATTGGTTTAACCTGGGCCTAAATGATGGTATTTTTGGCTTCATACATTATACCTCAACACACACCCCGCGACCCACCAAGCACTCACCTGTCAAGGATGACATCACCCAAGTGGGTTCAAGCATGATGTCATGCAAAGGGGGTCAAGTGCCGACACCCTTCAACATCAACCACCCGAGTCGGTATGGTGGAGGCAAAATTTGGCTAAGTATGGAGACTCAACCACAAGGGGTCAAGCATGACGATCATCCAATGGGGGTCATGCATGACATCGTCCAAGGGAGGTCAAGCACCAGATGCCACGTCGCCTATTTACCTTGTACTAGGGTGTCAAACTTGATGTCGTGCAAGGAGGGTCGTCAAGCATATGAATACCTATAAAACGTGGCGACAAAGGAGAGGAAATTTGGCTTAAGTGTGAGACCCAACCAAAAAGGAGTCAAGCATGACATCATCCAGAGGGGTCAAGCATGATGTCATGCTAGGGGGGTCAAGTACCAAGTACCACGGTCGCCTACCTACCTTGCACTAGGGTGTCAAGCTTGATGCCGTACAAGGGGGCCCATCGCGAGTACTAGACGTGATAGAGATAGAAGGAAGATTTGCTGAGTGTTGAGACCCAACCACTAGGGGGTCAAGCAGGATGTCATACAAGGAGGGCCTCGTAGTCAAGCATTTAGCCACCCACGTACCAACCACCGGGGGTCAAGCATCAGGGTGTCAGGCATCAGGGTAGACACAACGCACCCTCATCTCCAGTAGTTGGGCATGCTAGGCTTCATGGTGGTCATGCATGGTATCTAATAGACAAGGTCATCAATTAAGTGTCAGCCATGTATATCATCACATAGTAGACCATCTTGTCAAGACCATGCAAGCATGATGTCACCCCAAATGGGGTTAGTATGCATCCATCAACCCTCCAAGCACCCTGATGCCAAGCATAACGGCATGCAAGGGTGGGCAGCATGAGTACCGCCAAGGCATCAAACATCAAGAAGAAGACGAGCGAGACGCCTCCACGACACTCGTGGCTACCTACCAAGTGAATTCATCAATCCATCAAGATGCCAAGTGGTTAGCAAGAAGACAAGGCAATTAGGATATCAAGCAAGCTACATCAAGCACCAAGCATGGGAGGCAGTTACATGGAGGTTACAAGAGATGGCTATAAATAGGAGAAACGAAGACGAAGCAAGGGTTCCACAACCAAACATTTGACGCAAAATGTTAAAATTTATCCTTTCTCCGAAATTTAGCCATAGCCATTAGTGTTCGGAGCTCTCACTGAACCTCCATAGGAGTAGGAGTAATTAACGTAGCTTGATCGAAAAAAACCATCAAAAACATCAAATACCTTCGTTTGAACATTGTTCGGGGAGGTGTGAACTGTGTCATTTTCGTTGTTCAAGAAGTCAAAGGTGCAAAACATTAATTCAAACACCAGAGTTCTCCTCGCCAGAAAAGACTTGGTATATCTAGATAATTGGTATGAGCATAAACTGAAACATTCTGGAGAATTTATGTTGATTATGAGTAGCAGCAGCGTTGTAGCTTAGCAGAAGAATGAAATTGGGGAGTCACTTGGAAAGCACACAAAAGATGATGCATGAGCCACTGATGATTGTATTGGTTCAGTAGCGACTGAACGAAAAATATTAGTACGAAAATATAGAACATTAACGCCAATTTTTTATATAAAGGGCAATTTATTTGCTTAATAGATACACATTTTATCAAAATTAGTAAAATATTTGTGAAATTCATTTTGAAATTACACCTCAATTTTTCGAAATGGCTAAAACTAACCCCAAATTTCACAGAATTCAAAAAATAAGAATTGTAAATAAATTTCTTTATATACTATACACAAATAATTTCATGTTAATATAAATTCTTCAAAACTTATAAAATTCAATTTACACCAATGTTGAGTAATAGTTACATTTTTCCTAGCATGGGAGACCTAATTCCTCAAATAGGATAGCCCAAACTATCATACTAATAATTTTGGGATGGGATAACCATAAAAAAATGTTTGGGTGACCTCCATCGCGTCGTAGATTTCAGTTTTGGAGCCAACGTTGGGGGCTAAGTTAAAAATTTACGATTTTTTATCAAATCCCACTTTTTCTGAAGCACACTTTGAGTCAAATCTTGCTTCCCTTCTCTGTTAAGCCCAAAGAAAACTTCAGTGAAGTTAACAGCACTAGGAATGATGTTACTCTCCACCATCTCACCCACAAGCTTCAAGGCCTCTTCAGATTCTCCAGCCTTGCACCAACAACTAATTATCTTATATATAATAGCATACTACACTTTATTGGCCCAAAATTTTCTCTACTGTTTCATTATTTGTCGTGTTGTGAAAAACCTTCTTCAACCAGCTCTGGAAAAACCTTCTAGGCTTCTACGCGCAGCTGGCTCCACCAAAAATTTCTCCACTTTATTTTACCCACCCTCGCAACAGCCCATGCTTCTGTTTCCCCTTCCTTTCACCCTCAGTCCCAAAATCTGCAATTCAATCATATCTGACCACTCCTGTTTGCTTCTTTAAGTGGCGAACTCTTCACAGCTACAGCTGCTAAACACGCCATCGCCCATGCATTTGTACGGTCCTCACTTTACTCCTCTGGATCGAGAGAGACTTCTCTTCTCTAGCTGACCATCACAGTTTCAGCTACAACTCCTATTTTATTTCTTTGTTTCTCTATTCTCAATTTCCTCACCTGCTCTTCAGGCAACCCTTTCTTCCACCCATCGCCTGACCACCGTGAATCTTACCAGTAGAAATAGGTCTGGATGTCCTCAGGGAAGCTTCGTCGTGTAATTCAGTGATAGGATTCAGAGACCTTCCTCTATGGCATTCAAGGGCAGTCGCCAGCGGATGAATCTGTCGTCGTTGGAGTCAACCTGCACCACCATCTCCTCCTCCTCTGAGCGACGACTTTTGATGAACCGTTGCCTCTTTGATAGCAACGGAAGCAGCGTTAGGAGGATTAGACTTCACTCATCACCCCCAGTTCTCCGGTTCGGCAATCATTATCGACAGATGCATCTAGATGCTTCATTTGAGGTCACGACGACTAGATCTCAAGTTATCATCGACGGCAGTGTAACGGATCAGCAGCCGACGGCGTCGTTGTTTAGTGAACATTAAATATGTCTGAAAATCTGGGATGGCCTTCCTTTCTCGGACGACGGAACACATTCCAAGCTTCACACGTCCTTCCTAACTTCATATATCCAAGAATCATTGTCGAATACGTGACAATGGTAGGCTTGCACCCTTCTCGCTGCAACGCCTCCAACGTCTCATCGGCTTTCTCCGGCTGCTCTTCCTTGAAGAAATGGACAATCAACGATGTATAGACATGCGCAGTTGGATGAATGCCGACCTTCTTCATGTACTTTAGCTTTGAAAATGCCTCCTCTGTCTTCCCCGTTCTCAATAACCCATGGAGGAGGCTTGCGTACGTTGATCGGTCAAGTTTAAGCTTATTATGATCTCCCACTACAAGAAAAATGGCTTTTTGCAACCAATAAAATTGGTTCCTAAAGATCAAAAATTGGTTATAAATACCTTTTTGCGACCAAAATATTTTGGTAGCAGCATTGGTCGCTATAGCTGCGTTACTAATTCCTAGCGCAACCAAAATATGGATTGGTAGTAAAAAAGAAAGCTTTCGCAACCAAAATCGTCCATGGTAAAAAAACCTTACTTTTTCGCGGCCATTTTAATTTGGTTGTTATAGTCCGACCTAATGGTTGGGAAATATAATTGATTGGTCGCGAAAAATAAAAATGACAACCAATTTTATGTGACTATTAGTAACCAATTTTTTTGGTCGCAAATAGAATTTACGTACGTTTTATAGGTGACCATTCAATTTGGTCGGGAAATTAACATATGTCAACCAATTACATCATTACAACGACCAATTGTTTAGGTTACGAAAATTTAAAGCAACCATGAAATTTGGTCGTGAAAAGCACATATGCCGACCAATTATATCATTTTAGACTACTTA